TTACTATAAAGAGAGAGAGCACACACGCGTTATCTCTACATTAAACCACAGGGTTTTCGACACAAAAGGCTCACCTCTAACTTTAATTTATTTCTGGGATTGTAAAGATAACAAAGTACCTGAGAGCGAAGGGCCCGCCCACAGGAGGCTCACACTCACACAGAACTGGGTCGCAGGGAGGATGGATTGTTCGTATTCCTCGTGGTTTTGTCACACTACGACGGCAAGGAGCAGATTACTTTTGCTTCCAGTGTGAAGATGTGTGTGTGTGTGTGTGTGTGTGTGTGTGTGTGTGTGTGTGTGTGTGTGTGTGTGTGTGTGTGTGTGTGTGTGTGTGTGTGTGTGTGTGTGTGTACTCACCTAATTGTTATTGCAGGGGTTGAGCTTTGGTTCTTTGGGCCCGCCTCTCAACTGTCAATCAACTGGTGTACAGATTCCTGAGAATACCGGGCTATATCATATCTACATTTAAAACTGTGTATGGAGTGAGCCTCCACCACATCTCTGCCTAATGTATTCCACCTGTTAACTACTCTGACACTGAAAAAATTCTTTCTAACGTCCCTGTGGCTCATTTGGGTACTCAGTTTCCACCTGTGTCCCCTTGTTCGCGTACTGCCAGTGTTGAATAGCTTATCCTTGTCTACCCTGTCAATTCCCCTGAGGATTTTGTAGGTAGTGATCATGTCTCCCACTCATTCTTCTGTCTTCCAGTGACGTAAGGTGCATTTCCCGCAGCCTTTCCTCGTGACTCATGCCTCTTAGTTCTGGGACTAGTCTAGTGGCATACCTCTGAACTTTATCCAGCTTCGTCTTGTGCTTGACAAGGTACGGGCTCCATGTAGGGGCCGCATACTCCAGGACTGGTCTTACGTATGTGTTGTACAAGATTCTAAACGATTCCTTACACAGGTTCATGAAGGATGTTAGCCAGCCTCGCATATGCCGCAGACGTAATTCTTTTTATGTGGGCTTCAGGAGACAGGTTTGGTGTGATATCAATTCCTAGATCTTTCTCTCTTTCCTTTTCATTAAGTACTTCATCTCCTATTCTGTATCTTGTGTCTGGCCTCCTGTTTCTACCGCCTAGTTTCATTACTTTGTATATACTCCAGTTAAACTTTAGCAGCCATTTGTTGGACCATTCATTCAGTCTTTCTAGTTCGTCCTGTAGCCTATTATCATCCTCTGTTTCAATCCTCCTCATAATTTTTGCATCATCAGCAAACATTGAAAGAACCGATTCTATTCCCTTTTGGAGATCATTTACATATATCAGAAACAGTATTGGTCCAAGGACTGACCCCTGCGGGACTCCACTTGTGACGCCAATCCGAGACCTCACCCCTCAAAGTGACTCGTTGTCTTCTGTTACTTACGTACTCCCTTATCCAACGAAGTGTGTGTGTGTGTGTGTGTGTGTGTGTGTGTGTGTGTGTGTGTGTGTGTGTGTGTGTGTGTGTGTGTTTTCACCTAGTTGTGCTTGCGGGGATTGAACTCTGCTCTTTCGGCTCGCCTCTCAACTTTCTATCAACTGTTATTAACTACTATTTTTTTCCACACCCAAACACACCTAAGAAGCAACCGGTGACAGCTGACTAACTCCCAGGTACCTATTTACTGCTAGGTAACAGGAGCACCAGGGGTGAAAGAAACTCTGCCCATTGTTTCTCGCCGGCGCCGGAAATCCAACCGCGGTCCACAGGATCACAGGTTCAGCGTGCTGTCCTCTCAGCCACCGGCCCCTGTGTGTGTGTGTGTGTGTGTACTTACCTAGTTGTACTTATCTAATTATGTTGCGGGGGTTGAGCTCTGGCTCTTTGGTCTCCCCTCTCAACTGTCAATCAACTAATGTGTTGGTTCCTGAGCCTATTGGGCTCTATCATATCTACATTTGAAACTGTGTGTGTGTGTAAACTCTGAAGCCCATTCAGTCACCTGGGTTTACTCAATACTGTGGCGTCGTCTAGACCAACATTCATAAGGTGTATGTTAGAGGGAGTTGGGTAGTTCGCAACAGGGATTCGGAAGGTATTGTCAGGTCAGCGGATATTTCTGTTCCGGAGATGAGTCAGAGACACAGAGAACACAGCGGACCAATAATGTAATATAGCGGTAGTATGACTTTCCTCAACACTCTAGGAGAGTTATCATTAGTTTTATTTTTTATTTATTGTGACGGTAACGCGTTGGTGTTCGGCTGTTTCAAAAGCTAGGGGTATGGCCTCGTCACACAAAGAAACAAAAAGAGAAAATCTGGAACTTTTGTCTGTGGTAAGGTAATGGGAAGACACACAAAACACAAGTAAATTTAACAATGAAATTTTAATTACTTTAGAAAAGCAAAACATGAATAAAATTGGACATAAAAGTTGTAACAGGTAAATCAAACAAAATAATAAGAATAATCACTGGCAAATGAAATATTATGTTAAGACAAGTGAGTAATAGCAAAGTAAATATATTAGTGCAGGAATATTGGCTTCAAGCTGCCACCTCCCTTAGTACACGTAAGCCAAGGCTTAGTCTACCAATGAGACGTGTTAACTTGTGGAAAGCACTAGATATTCTGCCCTCCTCAGGTCGCGGTGGCTCAGACATCAGCTCGTGTGGCGGGTGGAGGAGCAGGTGCGACGGGCGCCAGCCAATCAGCGAGAGGCAGGCGATGGACAAGCAGTTTGCCGGTTTGAGTGGCGGAGGTGGAGCAGGTGTCCCGGTGTTGGATACGTTTTGCTCCCTGGCAAAACTTGTTGTTGTACTTGTTGGATATATCTTCTATATTAGTTGTTTCTGGGACGTAGTTTGGAGGGAAGAGCAGGCTCAATCTCTCTTGAAAGAGATTATCGTCACATTTTTCATTGTTTTTTTTTTTAGCTAACGTTGAAGGTATATCACGCACTCTCCTGCTGTATATTCATAACTTATTCAATCACTCTTGTCAGCACTTTAGCTCTACTATATTTTGCACTTTATTGATCCTATTTTGGCCTCGAAAGTGAAGACCTCCTCAACATTACATTTCCACGGTTCAGGGCCCCGGATCCATCTAAGCCTTTAAGTAACCACATGCGAAACCTCTACATCTTTCCTCAGTCATGGTGCATTTGTTTTCATTTATTGAACCGTTTACGAGCTTAAAAACTTCACAAACAAGAGTTAATATTGTTATCAGCACTCTTGAAGTGCTTTAGACATCGTAATTATGTCAACAAAGCCGCTATGACTGAGGAAAGATATACGGGTTTCATTAGGGGTTGGGTGAATGAGGAATCCAATCCGTCCTCACACTAGGCTGGTTAAAGCAGCGGCCGTCCTCCCCAGACAACCCGTCCTCACACTAGGCTGGTTAAAGCAGCGGCCGTCCTCCCCAGACAACCCGTCCTCACACTAGACTGGTTAAAGCAACGGCCATCCTTCCCAGACAACCCGTCCTCACACTAGGCTGGTTAAAGCAGTGGTCGTCCTCCCCAGACAACCCGTCCTCACACTAGGCTGGTTAAAGCAGCGGCCATCCTCCCCAGACAACCCGTTCTCACACGAGACTGGTTAAAGCAGCGGCCATCCTCCCCAGACAACCCGTCCTCACACTAGGCTGGTTAAAACAGCGGCCGTCCTCCCCAGACAACCCGTCCTCACACTAGGCTAAAGCAGCGGCCATCCTCCCCAGACAACCCGTCCTAAAGCAGCGGCCGTCCTCCCCAGACAACCCGTCCTCACACTAGGCTGGTTAAAGCAGCGGCCGTCCTCCCCAGACAACCCGTCCTCACACTAGGCTGGTTAAAGCAGCGGCCGTCCTCCCCAGACAACCCGTCCTCACACTAGGCTGGTTAAAGCAGCGGCCGTCCTCCCGAGACAACCCGTCCTCACGCTAGGCTGGTTAAAGCACGTCATTAGTTGTGAATCGTGTGTAAACCGCTTTTAATTCATAAACAGGCGGTTTGGTAGCTGGGTTAACGAGCTTGGATCTTTGTATGCGAGGACGGGCTGCTACACACGACTCACGATGACGTGTAAACGTTCTTCGTTCAGATGTCCTCTCTTCGAATCCCACCTTTCTTAACCTATCCCCACTCAACCTAACTTAGAACTAACTATTTAACGTGTTCCAGTATATGTTAATATTACCTTATATTTAAGAAAAGAAAACATATTTTGAATGCACAGTGCATTAAAATTGATGCATGTATCATCTGGTTTGACCGCCGCCTGGACGAGCCCAGTCTGAGGACAGGTTGGATGACTCGTGGAGCAGGTCATTCAGTTGTTAGCTGTGGGCAGTGGAGGGTGTGTAGTGATCAGTGTGCGGTCAAAAAGTTGCAAAATATCAATGGCAGCAACAAAAAAAGTTCACCATTAACTACTGTGTGCCGGATAAGAACAGTGATTGCTGGCCTGACCGCCAGGGGGTCAAGACGGTGGTCACCAAGCGCTCCTCAGTCGTTGCTGAGCGTTCTGTGTGGGAGGGTGGTGTTGTTGCGTCGGCGCCATAGGGACCCCCCTCCCCCATATTTGCCGCTCTGAGACCGTGGGTCTGGAATTTTCTGGACGGGCGTCTTACCTAGCCCTTGAGATTGTCCTGTTGAATATGTTGCGTGTGTGTGTTGCAGATGTGTACGGGCTCCAACTGCTGTCCACCCATCGGGCACTTGTTAAGTTTAACTCAGCTGCTGTTTATAGACTTTGTGGCCCGTTACGATGGGCGACCTTCTTCCTCTCCCTGGGGATGGTGGTACCGTCACTATCTCTGACCGGTGTTGTTCGGTGACGTATGTGGCCCTGCATGGTGTGCCATTTGAATTCACGGAGGCTTTGCTTCGACGGTATTTTGGCCAGTTTGGGACTGTCGTTTCCATCCGGATGAACTCCGTCTCTGCTGGCAGGTGGCGTGGTGTCTCGTGTGGGACCCGGACTCTCGGCCTGCGGCTCAAGTCTCCTGTTCCCTCCGCGGTGACCTTGATGAGCTACACTATGCGGGCGTTCTACATGGGACAGCCTCGTCAATGTTTCGTTGTGGCGTTGAGGGCAATCTGGCAGCTGAATGCACTGGGGTCGTGGCTGCACCTATTAATTTGTTCTGGGACGAGGATTTTCCGCCGTTGGTGGCGCGGGACCTGCCGTCTCATGATGGAGTGGGTGGGGAGGTTCCCCTGCCGCCTGCTGACCTGGTGGTGGCTGTTGGCCCGGCGTGTGTGGACTGTGGTGTCCACGACGAGGTGGTGGTGTGTGCGGCTCCGCCCCCACGCTCTGTTTCGTCGCTTCCACCGGTTTCTGCACCTGTTTCGGACTCTGCGCCTCTGTTGCCTTCGACGTCTCTGCAGGCTCCCTCACCTATGTTGGACCCTTCTCCTACGGCTGCGCCTGTTCCTTCTTCTGTCTCCTCTGTGGGTAGCGGTCTCGTCCCCTGTGTTCTTGAGGCTGCCATTCTGCGGGGTCGTGCTACCCCGGTTGGGGGACAGTCTACCGCTGGCTCTTCTCAGGTACCTCCTGCAGGGGGTGACAGCTCCGATGATCAACGGCCTTGTCCTAAGCGTTCACGCACGGATGCGGGTGCTTCGCCTCCTCGATCGTGGGCAGAGGAATGTGAGGATGCGGGGAGTGTCGATGTTTCTTCTGCGAGCTGTTCCTCTGTGGAGTGCGAGGATGGTGCGTCTGGTGCTGGTGTGGGTCCGGTGGATGGTGTGGGCCCTGATGTGGCTCCTGCTGTGGCTCCTGCTGTGGGGGTGGGGGCCGGTACCTCTTGCTTCGGGTGCGTCGCCCGCGTCGGATGGTTCCGGTTCCACGTAGGGGGTGGTTCCCCCTTGCGGCGTTGAGAGTGGACGTGGCGACCTGAAGATGGTCTTGAAGAAAGCTGCGCGCTCTGAGGGTTCCGTGTCTCCTATCCCCTGTTTCGTCGGCGGCGGTTCTGCCGCCCCACACATCTCCGGCCGTTTCTTTTGTGTCTCCTGCATTGTCGGGGGCGGTGTTGCCGTCTCGGCAGCCTCCGCCCGCTATTCCGGTGTCTCCTGCTTCCTCGGCGGAGGTGCCCATGCCGCCCAAGACGGGTTCTTCGTCTTTTATGTACCGTGGTTGGGCGAGACCGCTTCCGCCGGATGTAGAGATTCCCGAGTATATGGAGTACCTGCGGTGTCGTGAGGGCCGCTCACCTACCGAACTGGAGTATTTAATATGGGAGGCTTATAAACGGAAGTATCCGCCGTGGCAGTTTCCTGAGAAATACCCTCCTCGTTGACTGTTGTGTGTTGTGGGGTTACTTGCGCCTGAGTGCGTGGGTGTGGGGTGGGGTGGGGTTGTGTGTGTGTGTGTCTGGGTCGAGGGGGTTTTGTTTTCCGGTTCCTGCGTGTTCCGGTTTTTGCGTGTTTGTGTCTTTCTGTATATGTTCTGTGTGGTTGGGTGTGGTTTTATATTTCCAGATCTGTGTGTAGTATGCGTGGCTGGTGTGCTATTGTGCTGATGTAGTAGTGTGTTTAGTGTGGTGGTGGTATATTTTGTACTTGTGTTCTTAAGGCCTTTTGGTCGTTTGCATGTTTTTGTGCCTTTTGTGTATTTTTTGTTTATTTTTTGTGTTTTTTTGTTTATTTTTTGTACTTACGGTTCCCTGTGTGGTTCTGTTTTCTGTTATTAATGCCTTGTGTCTTGTACTGCTTTTAGCTTGTCTTCTGTGCCCGTGTTGGGGTTTATTATATGCTTTGTATCTTGTATGTTTCACTTTTGATTATTCTTATGTTTGGGTTTTTTTGCCTGTTGTGCTCCTGTATCCTGTATTGTGTATCATGTATGTACTCATGTTTTCTTGTATGTAGCTTTTCTGTTTGTACTTTGTGGTTTCTTTTATATATAAAAAAAAAAATTATAATGTGCTTTCATCCCATTACAGGTCCGAAAGGTCTTCGAAGAACCGAAAGCACCAATTTTGAGGTACGTTCTTATTTCATTCTGTATTCTAAGCGCATTTATTAAGATTTAACAAACCCGGGAGTGAAAGCTGTTTACCACTTTCAGACGTGCTGTAATTACAGTTATGAAGACTTAAGTGTCCAAGGATGCTGTACTCGCCTCGTAAGATAACTCTCTCGGGAACACTGGAATTTAACGCATTCATTGTGCTTAATTAACAAAGATAGATAAATTAACCCCGATTGTTGTTCTATTAGGGGGGAGGTTGGTGGGCCCTGGGAAGCAGGACTGACTGGTAGGGAGAGAGGGGGAAGTAGACGTTGTGTGCGTGTGTGCGTGTGATGAGTCACACGGACACTGTGTGACTCATTACTGTGAGCACACAGTGATGAATCACTGTGTGCTCACAGTGACTCATCATCGTGAGTCACGAGATGGATTGTGAGTTGAGGATTGTGAATTGACGGATTGTGAGTTGTAGATTGTAAGTTGAGAGGGTTGGCTGCAGGGACATACATCCCTCCTTCCCTAGTATTGCAAGGGGCTTTAAAGGTCTAGGTTACTATGCTGGAGCTTTTGTGTGCATTTGTATGATGGAGCTGTTTTGTGAATATGTGTGTCTGCAAAATGGAAATCAAGACTTGAAAATACTGTTTTTAGTTACTAGTTACATATTCATATTGTCACTGGTGTTAGTTTATTTACTGATTCTTTATTCGGAAATATAGTCATCATATATTAGGCTAATATGTGATGACTATATAATAATAAACATCTGATTGTAAATAATCAAATCATTTTATGGAACATTGATATCTGTTTAGTAATATTTAATGATTATAATATTTATAATTATCTCATTCATTATATAAATACTGAACAGAGATATTGATTATAAATGATTAGTAAACCAAAAATATAATTGTTTCTACGTTCGAAAAGCGAAACAGTAATATATGAAACACCGAAAAATATCATGTCTATTAAACTGTAGGTTTTTACTTCTATAAAACTCTAGGGTTTTAATTACAACAAAGATATAAATCTTTCCAGGAAGCAATTTTACATAGTATTCCAGAAGTGAAAGTTTACATTAACGTTGTGTATATAATCAACCCGTTCTCGCAATTTCTTACAGTCAATATTGACTTATTTAATACGTGCATATGTGACATACTAAACATACTAGTTTAAAAGCTTCATAGAAAACACCGGCCTTACCTAACCTTCTTAGTATGTTAAGATAAGCATCTTATTGCTTCGTAATTACGATTATTACTAAACCTATTGTAGGTATAGTTTAAGTAATAATTGTAATTACGAAGCAATAAGATGCTTATCTTAACATACTAAGAAGCTTAGGTAAGGTCGGTGTTTTTTATATGAAGCTTTTCAAGGTAAACTAGTATGTCACATATGCACGTATTTAATAAGTCAATATTGACTATACGAAAGTGCGAGAACGGGTTGCTATAATATACTGTAGCTTAATGTAATCAATATACCATAGGATTAGTATATTCAGTATACTATGGGTTTTTATCCATTATAAAATGGGTAAGAATAGTTGATAATGTATACTTTGCTTATTATATTTAATATTGCTAGGTACGTTCAACATGCTATAAATGCGTATATTCAACATTGTATGGGTGTGCATTGAATATATCCATGGGTTGGTATATTTATTATACAATGGCTTAGTATATTCAGAATTGTATGGGATAGAATTCCAATGTAACAATTGGTTGCAGTTGAGTCATTGCTAATCATATAACGTAGCTCCAGATCAAATTATAAAAAAGACAACACCTTTATATGCGAGTAATAGATATGCGTTATTCGTTACGGTTCTAAACTTAATGGAATTAGTTACATGTCTATATACCAAAACAATGAATTTGGCGGTATGCACCAGTTTTAGTGTTTTAGGATGTGCACCATAATCTTTTTTTTAGAAGAAATTAATACTAAAATTATTTATTAAAGGCGAGGGGAAGGGTGGAAGAGAGACCACTTTATTATATTTTAATACTCTTATATGAATGGGATCAATAAGATACATTTATTCGACGTCTGATTTATGTGCAAGATAAGTTGCAGGTCAGATTTTCTTTGAAAATGCTCAATGAATGCATTTAGAAAGTTACTACTTCCAGAAATGTATGTCTTTAGAAAGAGGCTGAGTCAAATTCCGTGTACACAGGCCACCAGGTCATAAAACCACACTTTTAACTGGGTTTTAAAGCCATTATTGATGTTTATTTAGTCGTGAGGGCAGCTGCATAGCGCGTAATTTGTCATAATTACCCATGTAGAATTTTATATATCTTTTCACACTGTCGTATGTGCTTGAGTACTCACCTATATGTATTTGTAAGTTTCAGCTTCTGGGCCGTGTCTTTTATTTGCTATATCGATTATTGCAAATGTTACGTATCCTATTACTTTTAATTATTCCTTCTCGTACTATTTCCACTTTCTCACTACACTTACAGGAATAAGTGATTTATTACATCCACAGATATCATTTAAACTTTTAGCATTTCGTTACTTGTCTACTTCGTTAATGCCTTGAAGAATTTTGTATGTCGTAATCATGTCTCCTCATTTTCTTGACATTTTTATGAGTGATTAGGTCTAGATCTCTCAGCTTTTCCTTGTATGTCAGTCCTCTTCTCTCAGGGACCTGTCTTGGCACAATTGTTTTGATGTTCACAATTTTTATGTTGTGTGTTAACTGGGAAGTATTTCACACTACTGGTTAGTATTTTAGTTCTAGTTTAACAAAGGCTTTGAACAATGTTTTCGAAGTTTCCAGTCTGAGGAGTATGAGGATTAGGCGAATGTTTGCCACCTATACCTATGCGGATGAGTTTAACTTATTTTATTATTTGAGTAAGTTTAACCTAATTTAATAGGATTGTAATATTTGCATACCCTATTTTCGATACTTGTCTCTTATTTATGTTAGGCATTTGCCATTCCATCATCTTATACTCTGCCTGTTGTCCACGTTTCCCTATCTCGTATATTAATCACTTGCATTTACTTGGATTAAAGTCAAACAGCCATTTCTTTAAGAATCTTTCAAAAGTGTTTAATTCCACGTGGAGTTTTAACTGGGAGAGTATAGTTCTTGTCTGTTGTTACTCCTCCCGATGACTCTAAACATCGTTGCAAAGATTGAGTGTACTCAGCTAGTTGTTCTCACCTAGTTGTGCTTGTGGGGGTTGAGCTCTGGCTCTTTGGTTCCGCCTCTCAACTGTCAATCAACTGTTGTATAGGTTCCTGAGCCTACTGGGCTCTATCATATCTACACTTGAAGCTGTGTATGGAGTCAGCCTCCACCACATCACTTCCTAATGCATTTCATTTGTCTACTACTCTGACATTGAAAAAAAAATTCTAATGTGTCTATGGCTCATTTGGGCACTCAATTTCCACCTGTGTCCTCTAGTGCGTGTGCCCCTTGTGTTAAATAATCTGTCGTTATCTGCCCTATCACTTCCTCTGAAAATCTTGTATGTGGTGATCATGTCCCCATAACTCTTCAGTCTCCCGGTGATGTGAGGTTTAATTCCCGTAGTTTCTCCTCGTACTCATACCCCCTCAGTTCGAGTACTACTCTGGTGAAAAACCTTTGAACCTTTTCCAGTTTAGTCTTATGCTTGACTAGATATAGACTCCATGCTGGAGCTGCATACTCCAGGATTGGTCTGATATATATATATATATATATATATATATATATATATATATATATATATATATATATATATATATATATATATATATATATATATATATATATATGTCGTACCTAATAGCCAGAACGCACTTCTCAGCCTACTATGCAAGGCCCGATTTGCCTAATAAGCCAAGTTTTCCTGAATTAATATATTTTCTCAAATTTTCTACCCATTTCATTATGTATGAGGTCAAAAAAAAATTATTGGAGTTAAAATTAACGTAGATATATGACCAAACCTAATCAACCCTACCTAACCTAACCTAACCTATCTTTATAGGTTAGGTTAGGTTAGGTTAGGTAGCCGAAAAAGTTAGGTTAGGTTAGGTTAGGTAGGTTAGGTAGTCGAAAAACAATTAATTCATGAAAACTTGGCTTATTAGGCAAATCGGGCCTTGCATAGTAGGCTGAGAAGTGCGTTCTGGCTACTAGGTACGACATATATATATATATATATATATATATATATATATATATATATATATATATATATATATATATATATATATATATATATATATATATATATGTCGTACCTAGTAGCCAGAACGCACTTCTCAGCCTACTATGCAAGGCCCGATTTG